ATAAACTCCTTGAGAACGGTATTTGTTCACCATTCCCTTCATAGGAATTAGAACATTGTTTGGCATATAATAGGTGCTTAATGAAAATCTATTGACTGATCTAGTAAATGTACTATAAACTTGTGGTTTAAGAGCAAAACCTCAGGGTTGGGGATATAGCTCAGTGGCACAGTGCCTGTAATCCCTGCTCTCTAGAGTCTGAGGGAGGAAGATTGCCACAAATTCAAGGGCAGCCCGGACTACATTGTGAACTCAAGGCTAACCTGAATTACAGAGTAAGACCCTATAAAGAAAAAACGGGGGGGGGGGTGTGTAGAATCTATGTGTGTGTGTGTGTGTGTGTGTGTGTGTATTTGTTTGTTTGAGGCTTTTATGTGTTACTCTTTTATAAAACTTATTTGAGATAGTTGACCCCTAATATTCACTGCAGATGCCAAAGTCCGCAGATGCCCAAGTCCCTTGTAGAAAATGGTATGGTATTTGGACGTAACCTACATGCATCTTCCTATATGCAGTCATGAGTTGTATCATTAAGTGATTTCTTCTTCATGCATATGTGATAGAATGTGTACAGAAAGTAAGACTGGTTCAGTATCAGATGATTTCATCTTATGGAACCACACATATGGGATGTAGAGTCTGTCATCGCTTAAAACGTCACTATATAGCATATGGCTATTCTCTGCTAGGTTATTAATAATACCTAATGCAATGTAAATGATACATAAATAGCTGTTAAGTGGTATCATGTAGGGGATAATAAGAAAAAGAGTCTGTGTATGTTCAATACAGATACAGCTATTACAGGCCTGACTCATAAAATACAGATGACACCCAAGATGAACAGTACTGCAGTGAATGCTGAAGTGACTGAGGACCTGCGGCGAGGTGGGGATGACAGCAGGGTGCCTCCACCTCCCTTCACTCACATGGATTCAGCATAGCATTCAGCATGCTACAAATTCAACTTTTGCTTTTAGGAACTTCCTGGAATTTTTTTCTGAATATTTTCAATCTGCCAGTGGTTAAGTCTGTGGTTGGATAACTCATAGAGAGGGAGGGCTAGAAAATTTTTTCCCTTTCTGTTTTTAGTTTTGAGACAGTCTCACCAAAAGTCCAGGCTGGCCTTGAAGTCACTATGTAGCCGAGGCCCATCTCAAACACCGATCTTCTTGCGTCTTAAGTACTCTGGAGCGCTGGGATTACCGGCATGCCCCATTACACCTGGCTGCCAAATGTATTTAATGCCAGATGATTTCAGCTGTGCTGGAAAAGTCAAATCTGGTAGCCCTGGATCTTTATTTTACATAGCAACAAGTACTGGACTAAGCACTGGATTCTTCCTTTACAAGGGTGTCTTGGTTACTTTCCTCTCACTGGGACAAAATACTTGATGCCCAACATTAAGGAAGGAAAGGTTTATTTCGCTTACAGTTTGTGGAGGTTTCAGTCCATACTTGGCAGGTTACAAGGCAGAGTGGCACATGGCAGAGGGCTACAGCTCCTGGCGGCAGAACAAAGCCAAAGTAACAAGCACAAAAGGGAGGAATGGTGGCAAGCAGCCTCTTCCCCTCCCTTACATATGCAAACTACCCACCCCAGGGCGGGTGTAGCTCTCACACCCATAATCAATCAGACTCTAAAAGCCTGCCCCATGGCCGCATGAGGCTTTCGGGGGACACCCAGACACAAACCATAACAAAGGGCCTGCGTCCTCCAGTGTGTCACAGAGAGGTTTGACTGTACCTCCCTTTCCTCTGAAATCTTGAATAGTGAGGTTTCTGCCAGTTGCTATTTGCCATTTTGCTTTCTCTGTTGTATTTTCTTAGATTTGGCCCATGTTACTTCTGTGTATTACCTGCCTGGTACTTGCAGGCATTTGAGTTAACAGCCTCTGAAAATCATAATTTACAATTCCTTTGCAATTACACTTTGGAGATTTAGTCTTGAAAGCATAAAATAAAGATGATAGAGGTTGTGACTGTTGTTGAAGAAGAAACACATTGAACTTTAAAAACCTATATATTACAAAAGCAAAAAGCCCCATATAGACCAATGAGCACATGGAAAGATGCTCCACATCGTTAGTCATTAGGCAAATAGGCGTCAAAACTATGATGAGATGCCAGCCTCATCATAGCCACAAGCAGGGCTGTAGTACAGACAGACAATAACCATGTTGGTGCGGATGTGGAGAAATCGGAGCCCTCATAATTACAGTTGGGAAGGTAAAATGGTGTAGCTATTTTGGAAAAGTCTGCCAGTTCCTCAAAAAGTTAAATATAGAGTTACCATATGAGCGGATAAATCTATTCCTAGGTATTACAAAATAAATGAAAGTGTACACCCCTGCAAAACTTGTATGCAAATGTTTATAGCAGCATTATTTATAATAGGCAAAAAGTGGAAACAACTCAGATGTCCACCAGCTGATGAAGGGGTAAGATATCATATATCCATGCAATGATGGGACATTTGACGATGAAAAGAAATGAAGTATTGATTCATACTACAATGTGAATAAACCTTGAAATCATCATCCTGAGTGAAAGAAGCCAGTCATAAAAATGATGTATCTAGATTATTGAGTTTATAGTATGGGCTCAGAATAGGCAAACCTGTAGGGACAGAGCATAGATTACTGGTTGCTTTGTAGTAATGGGGTGGGTAAACGGAACTGCTAATAAGTATGAGGTTTCTTCTAGAAGAGACCAAAATGTTCTAAAATTGGATCATACTACTGTTGCATACCCTGTGAATTACACTTTCAAGTGATTGAATTTTATAGTATATTAATTATATTATCTCAATAAAACTTTTTAAAACTATTTGGTGATCAGAAAACAAACAATTCAAAGATGGGTAGATTTTCACACCTCAGATCATTGGCCAATATGCAGTCAAGTACAATCCTAGCAGTAGCTTCAGAAAGTTATTCTTTTTTTTTTTTTTTTTTTTTTGGTTTTTCTCCGGTACCGGGAACCGAACTCACGACCTTGCACTTGCCAGGCAGGCGCTTTTGCCCCTGAGCTAAATCCCCAGCCCCAGAAAGTAATTCTTGATGTGAATTTACCTTCTAATTAAGACAGCTAAGCTTTTTCTTTGCTGTACATTATCTGCATGGTTGATTCAGTGGGTTTGAGTTTAGCAGCATAAACAGATTTAGTTTGAAAAGTATGCTTCTTGAGGGCCCACTGGAAGTACTACAGAGAATCCCTGCCTGGTACACTTGGCAAGTGAAGCGTGAGCAATGGGAAGAAATGTGCAGCATGCTATCGTGGGTTTTTCTGTCTTTCTAAGTAAAAGGCGTGGGTTAGGAGATTAGCTTTGGAGGGGGATTTCATTACATATCCTGCTGATTGTACAGAAGTTCCTGAGACTCCCCTTTCAAATAAAACATCTCAAGTATACCCTTTTCCATGCTGTGATTTTAAGGGATTTCCAAGTATTATTAACATCTACAATATCAGAACTAGAGGAAGCGTTTATAAATTACCTAGTTTTACCCTTGGTTTTTTTTTTTAGATGTCCGTTTTGGCAGTATCCATGAATTACTTTAGTTTGTCATTACTCCTGAGATGAGTATATTAGTGAAATTTTACTGTTAGAACTTTAATAATTTCTTCTGTTTCCATAATTTAGTTGGCTATGTAGACTGAAACAAAAAAATCATATTGTATGTAAACTGTTTTAATTTTCCTTGATATTTTTCATTTATATAAAAAGTATGCCTATTCCACTACTTAATTTTGATAGTAATTTGAACTCTAGCATTTTATAGGAAATATGTTTGTGCAGAGAGATTTTATTTTATTTCATTTTATTTATTTTTGGTTTTTTGAGACAGAGTCTCACTGTGTAGTTCAGACTGATCTTGAACTTGCAATTCTTCCTGCTTCAGCCTTCTAAGTACTGGGACAATAGGCATGTAGTCTTGGCCATTCTTTAGTATGTTCAGACATATGGTTGGTTTTTTGTTTTAGTTTAGGTTTTGTTTTTTTGTAGTGTTGTGGATGGAACCTAGGGCTTCACATAGGCGCTGTACCGCTGAGCTACACTGCAGCCCTACAGTCAGTTTTTAATCTAGAATTTACATTATCATCAGCATTCTAGTAGACTATTCCATCATTACCAGAAGTGGAACATCCTTCCTTTTTCTTCTTCATAGCATTTACCATATTTGACCTTGAATATAATTTGCTCATTTGTTTTGTGTGTCTTCCTATAAAGCTCCCTTAAGTTAGGAATTTTTGGTAAAGTGCTAGGCATAAAGTAGAAGCTAAACAAATACTTATTAAGTAGATGACTAGATGAACCTTCCATTCTTCAAGACACCCAGAAGTAAACAAAAAGCCAATTGATGCCAAAAGAGGAGCTGCAGCTTTTCGAGCCTTATTCTGGCAGCACTGTTGTTCTGGTAACTGCAGCTGCAGTTCACTTCTCCTTGGCTTACAAAACAGGACTCAGAGGTTTTGATATTTCATGCATATTGTGTGGGTCACCTTCATCTCCCTATGTGGGTCTTGATAGCTGGCTATAGATCAAATGAAGTCGCATGTGAAGGTACTCTGAAATGTACAGTGCTATGAGCTAAAAAGTATATCAGGAACTCCTATGTAGCTGTATCCATTCGTCAGACTTTTTTTAGGTTCTTGGTATTTCTTTGGTATTGGGGGTTGAACCCAGAGCCTTGTGCATGCTGGACAAGCACTCTACCACTGGGCTACATCCCCAGCCCTTTTTTATTTTAAGACAGGGTCTTGCTAAATTACCCAAGATGGCCTCAAACTTGTGATGCTTCTGCCTTAGCCTCCAGAGAACTGGGATTACAGGTGTTCAGATGGCATTTTGAGAGTATTTGTTTTGTGTGTGTGAGTCTGTTTGCTTTTAGGGGAGGAATATTTTGAATAGTCTAAAACAATAGTCAGTATTGCCATAGCATGTTTACAGTAAAGTCCATAATAAGTTCTTGTTAATATCTTGTTTGACTTCTTTTGTAGGAGCTGAAGAGATTTGAGAGCTTTGTAGAATCCTGTCCTCCTTTTGATATTGTCATTGATGGGCTCAATGTTGCTAAAATGTTTCCTAAAGCTCGGGAATCTCAATCTGTAAGTACAAGTTCAATTTTCCTATTCTGCGTCTCCATAAATATGTATTCTGCCCATTAGTGACCTTCCGTGAGGATCTTTGCTCCGCATTTTTCCTTCCTGAAACTAAGTGCCTAAATGTACCGCAGGGACCCATCATTCATCTCAAAGCCACTGTTTTCGTCCCTCCGAGTAAGTAGTTCTACAGGGCTGGGAGTAAGAAATTAAGAGAGTGAGGAGTTAAAGGAAAACCACATTACAAAGGACCGGATCTGCCCATTTTGTGTGACCTTTAGCCCATCTCCCTTTAGGCCTCTTCTCTCTTTAGTGTTGCTCTGTCATTTTCCTGTGGGTTGACCCCTGTGAAATTTACCAGTATATTAGCATGTAATAGTAAGAGATTCTGGTCACTTGTTACTTACATTTGTGTTTTTCCAAACGTAGCACATTCATAAATTAACCTAAGCAGGTCTTCTTTCACGAGGTACCAGTTTGCTTTATTGATTTATAAATGTCCTAGCAGTCTCTAAAAAGAATATCGTGATTTTTCGTTGCAGCAATGAGCAGTTATCTTAAAGGTTAGAAAATTGAGGCTAATTTTATCCAATAAATCCTTAGATAACAGTCATACCCTCGAAATTAAATGGTAAACAGCACTTGGGTTTCAGGCTTATGGCTCTTATCATTGGCAATCTATGGCTATTCATGTGCAGTTGAACTGTGTTATTTCTTTAAAATTGCTGCCAACATAAAAGCTTTTTCGTAGAAATGCTACTAGTCCAGTTTGGCCATTTATACTCAGAAAGGCTCACAAGTAGGAACAAAGGACAAGCTTCATTTACGGAAATTTTTTGATATACTTTCTTCTATATTTGTGCCTATACTTTTGTGTTGAAGTATGTCTTTTAAATCTTTTATTTTACAAAAATCAAAAAAGGAAATTGAATTTGTTTGTTTTGTTTTTTCAAGACAGAGTCTCACTATGTAGCCCAGGCTGGCCTTAAATTTGTGGTTACCCTCCTATCTCAGCCTCCCAAGTGCTGAGATTATAGGCAAAAATATTTTTTACCTCTTATATAGATGAGAGAGCCTCTGAGGCAGTAATATTGACAAAGGTTCAATATGACAGCCCTGGGTTCAGTCTCTAGTGCAGAAAGAGAGAGAAAGAAAGAGAAAGAGAGGTTATTTTATAAAAGTAATATGTGTTCGTTGTAAAAAAATTTGGAAAGCACAGGGAAGGAAAAGCATATAAATAATCCTATTATTCACCAATAGTTGTCAGTATTTTATTTCCTTCCAATATGTTTCCATTTTATCTTATTGAGTTCCAACTGCAAATAAGTAATTTTAATTTACAGCTGTTTAAAACTCCAAATAAAAATAAAACTATAAAAGGAGTAGAAGAAATGTAGCACTTACATATTTGAGCATATATAAAGTACAGGAGGGAAAAAAAGAGCAATTTGCTGGACAGTAAAAAAATACTGTAAACACACAGGGTGCAGTGGTGCATACACGTGATCCCAGCATTTGGGAGAGAGAGGCTGGAGAATTGAGAGTTTGAGGTCAGCCTGGGCAGCTTAGTGAGTTCAAGGCCAGCCAGGACCACTTCACAAGACTCTTACTCAAAAAAACCCAAAAAACAAGCCAGGTATGCAGTACATGCCTATAACCCAGTACTCAGGGATGTAGCTCAGTGCAAAGGTCCCTGGGTTCAATCCCTAGTACTACAAAACACAAACAAAATAACAGCAAACATTGTCAAATGGTAATAACAAACTATAAAAATGTTTAGACAATATAAGGACTAATTTCCTGACTCTTATCAAGGACTCTTATAAGCCTATGAAAAAAAGATGAACCATGTAATAGAAAAGGGATTTAGAGGCCAGAGGTATAGCTCAGTGGCACAGTGCCTGCCTGGCAAGCTCAAGGTCATGAGTTCAATTCCCAGTACCCCCCCAAAAGAAAAGAAAAGGGGTTTAACCTTAATCATAGTTATAGATATTTAAGTTAAAACATATATCTTCCTGATTGGCAGAGATAGAAAAGTTGATATTATCTAGAGTATAGTCTGACCCAGGGAAGAGGAAGAAGAGTATTAATGCAGTATTTTTGGTGGGTGGTTTAGCTATAACTTTCAATATTTAAAATATTAAGGCCAGGCATGGTGGTACACATCTGTAATCCCAACACTCGGAGGCTGAGACAGGAGGATCATCACAAGTGCAAGACCAGCCTGGCTACATAGTGAGTTCAAGTCCAGCATGAACTACAAAGCAAGACTCTGTCTTAATAAATGAATGAATAAATAAATAAATGTTGAAATTATACTTATAGGAACTAACGTACTAATTCATACTATTACATACAGATGTGTTAATCATTGCATTGTTGTAAACAGAAAAATCTAAACAACCTAAATATCTATTAACTTAAGGTCTGGTGTATAGTGAAACACACAGTTACGTGAATTAGGTAAACTGACCGTGTTGGCGCACTCCCATAATCACAACACAGTCAGAGGCTGAGGAAGGAGGATCACAATTTCAAGCCTAGGCTGGGAAATTTGGGGACTTAGTGAGATGCTATCTAAAACAAAGAAAACAAAACAAAGAGAAATAAAGGGGTAGTTTGGTGCAGAGGCTCCTGGTTCAATTCCCTGTACTACAAAATAATAATAATAAAGATCTCTATATATTGATAGTTGAAACTAAATCTAAAATATGAGGCAAATTGAACAACTTGTATTAAAAACAAAACAAAAATTACCTGTATGTTGTTGTTAACCTGTATATTACTTGTAAGTGTTTGTTATTTAAATTTGTGTATGCCCAGAGAATTTTTAAAAGCTTACATACATCCTTTGTCCCCCTCTATTTCCCTGTCCTTTTCTCTCTCTCCCTTCCTCTCTCTGCTATCTAGGAGTTGGAGATAAGAGTATAAGAGAATAATGGAATTTTTATTTTTTGAATTTTCTTTTAACATGGGTATGTGTTACTTAAACATGAAATAAAACAGGAAAAGAAAAAAGTTAAAAGCTATTCCTGATAAATGCTCTAAAATATCTGTATAAACTCTGCCAATAACCCCAGCACTCAGAAGACTGAGATAGCAGGATTGCCACAATTTCAAAACCAGCCTGGGCTGCATAGTGGGTTCAAGACCAGGCTGAATTACACAGTGAGACTCTGTCTCAAAACCAGAAAAGTAAACATTATTATTAATTTCCCTATTCTGTGACATATTAGGTTTTCCTTTATTCATTATTGTAAGTAATATTTAGGAAAAGATCTCTTTGCAAGCTTCAAGTGAGTTCTTTGGAACAGGTTCCTAGAAATTTGGACCACTAGAGTCAGAGGGTATAGATACTTTTAAAGGTCTCGCTGCATATTGCTAAATTGCTTTCCAAAATGATTGCAGCAGTTTATACTACCACCAGCAGCGTATAAAAGTGCTCAGATAGAACATACTTCTTTGAGGTTGCTTAGTACATGATTGCCTAGTACACCTGTGCCATAAGTCTGCTAAGTAAAAAAGGGCCAGCCATTCCCCTCATACCCCATTTTTTAGGTCAAGCAAATTTTTCAAACTTGAGAACAAAGATTAATGAAATGGTTCCAGAAAGATAATATTCTTAGTTATCTTCCTTTTCTCTTCCTTCCCCTCCCCAATTCCTTATAGTTGTACATAAAGGAAAAATTAGGAAATCTGGTTTCCTGAGTCTTGAATTTTTGCTATCTTTGTGTGAAGAGATTTCCATATAGTGTCTGTGGAATAAGTACACATCACTGTCTTTTCTCACTGCTGAGACTAAATACTTAACACCCAAAGTTAAAGAAAGAAAGATTTATTTGGCTCACAGTTTGTGGAGGTTTCAGTTCATAGTTGGCTGGCTCCAAGGCAGGGTGCCACATGGAGAGGAGCATCGCAGAGGACAAACAGTTCATGGCAAGCAGAAGGCTGCAATCAAACAAAAGCAAGCAACAAGCCTTTTTCTGTCTCTTAAATTTTATCTGTGCTATCTGTCCTTAGGGTAGGTGATACTCACACCCTTAATTCTAGCGCATCCAGTAAATATTTGTGTACACTTTAGTATTAAGAAAATAGACTAGGGGGCTGGGGATATAGCTCAGTAGCACAGCACCTGCCTGGCAGGCACAAAGACTTGCGTTTACCAAAAAGAGAGAGAGAGAGAAAAGAAGAAAACAGTAGGAAAGTCATTCATGTGGAGGGAAGAAAGGAAATGGAAGTGATTTTACTTGCAAGGAAAAACAAAAGATAGGCAAACTGTGAGTGCAAGAGGCAAGAACACTTGGGTAGAATTCTTGGGGATATCCTCGACTTACTCATTACCTCCAGTGATGTGTCATATACATCTCATCAGTGAGTTTACCTATTTCAGATTTTTTTTTTTTCTTTTTGAGACAGAGTCTTACTATGTAGTTCAGGCTGGCCTTGAGCTCACTTTGTAGCCCAGGCTGGTCTTGAACTCGCAATGATCCTCCTGCCTCAGCCCCCCAAGTGCTGGGATTACAGGTGTGCGCCACCACACCCGGCTCAGGCTTTTTTTTTTTTTTTTTGAGACAGGATCTCGCTATGTAGTTCAGACAGGCTTTGAACCCACAGTGATCCTTCTACCTCAGCCTTATAAGTACTTGAATTAAAGGCATGTGCCACCATGCCCAGCTTAATGCCTATATTTTCTTCTAAGCATTTTATTTTTTTAGTTTTATAGTTTATAGTCTTATAATTTTAGTTTTATATTTACAATGCCTTTATTTTTAGAGAAACAGTCCAATCTTGGGTAAATAATAAGTCAGCATGATTTAAAATATAGTGAGATTAGAGGGGACTAACTTTGGCCCTTTCTAATTCATTTAATTGCTATTAATCTGAGCAGCACAAGAAGACTTCCTACTTATCTTACAGATATTTTTTAACTGTAAAGTGTATCCTGCTTCATATATATATGCATATATATTTACACGTATGTAAGTATACATATATGGTGGCATACA